CTGATTTTATATGAAATTAGTGCACTTTTAGTATACTTGAATAAACTACTTTTTGCTAAGGGAAACCATGACATTTTGTCATAGCATAACTGTTTTACATTTTTTTTTTTTTTTTTTTTTGCATAAATTGGATAAAATAATGCATGTTTTCCTGTTCATTAGTTTTCATTTATCTGAATCTGGGCAAAAAAGAGGTCTCATTTTTAGAGAGATCATAAGTGAAAGAGCATAGCAGACAGATAAGAGAGAAAGTAGTTGACAAGTTTACATCAGCTTTTAGTTATAAATATGCAAAAAAAATGAAGTAATACATATAAATATGCTCAGCTGAAAACCTACCATAACACTGCTGTCCAAGGAGAGAAATGCTAAACAGTTCCAATTCTGGAATGAGCTGCACAGACCTGCAGATCTGCTGAGAAAGACAATAAAATCTAGAGATGGGGAAAACCATCAATGCTCTCCACAAATCTGGACTTTATGTAAAACTATGGAGCAAAAAATTTATTGCAACTGCATTAAAAAAAACTAGAAGGAAAACTCTAAGGCTGGATCCCGAAAGCACCATCTCTACTGAGAGGACCAACATGTCAAAGGGGGCAGAAGACTTGAAGGCAGCTGTAAGGCTGTGAAAATGTGGTCCAGCAAAGTATTGCTGTAGAAAACAAATCAGGCCTCTTCTCAGGTTACATTTTGAACCTTTTTTGAAATATTTTTATTGAATTTTATAACAAAAGAAAAAAGCAAGTGACAGTGATACACTTAACACAGATTCTTAAAAAATAACTTGGTCCCCAAAGCCAACAAACACAAATAAACAATAATGAACAATGAGAAAAGGAAAAAAAATAAAATAAATAAATAAATAAAAATATTAAAAAAAATAAACCCAGCAATCTCTGCACAGTTCTCTTAATGTCCTTTGTAACGTTTCAGAAACTCGGTCAACGGTGACCACGTCTTTTCAAATTTTGCTCCTTTTCCTCTGACAATATAAGTGAGTTGCTCCAGAGCCATACAGGATGACATCTCCTTCACCCACATGTGCTTTGATGGTATATCTATTTTTTTCCAGTATAGAGATATTAATCTCCTGGCCTGCAGGAGTCCAAAGTCAATCAATTTTAACTGTCTGGAATTAAAAGCACAGTTCTCTGAATAAATACCCAAAACACACATTTTGGCCTCAGCAGGTACATTCACTCCAACGATCTCTGACAAAGTTTTCGTAACCACGTTCCAATATTGTTGTAACTTTGGACACTCCCATACACAGTGAAAGAGAGTACCTCTTCCAACCAAACATTTACAGCAGATATCTGGGATGTTAGGATCCCAGCGGTTCAGTTTGACTGGAGTTATGTAAATTCTCATCAACCACTTGTACTGAAGGAGTTTCATGCTTGTATTGATTGATTGCTTTTGGGCTTTTACACATGCAGTATTCCAGTCCAATACTTTTATCTCTTCTCGAATATCAGCTCTCCATGCATCCAATTTATCTACAGTGGATTCCTCATCGTGCCTTAATAAAGCTATATAAAATAAAGAAATATGACCTCTCCTCTCTAAATTTTCTAGCACAATATTCTCTAGGTATGATAGTGGTGGTTTGGATTCAATCGTTTTATGTTTTGACATAATAAAATGTTTAATTTGTAAATACTTATAAAAGTGTTTCTTTGGAATGCTATATATTTGGCATAACTGTTCAAATGTCAGAAGCCTGTCATCCTTATAAAGATCTGCCAGTTTCTGTAAACCTTTATTTGCCCAGATTTTGAAACCTCCATCAGCTGTCCCTGTCTTAAAATATCTGTTCCCCCAGATGGGTGAGAAAGAGGAAATGGAAGGGGTATCTCCAATATATTGATGGGTCCTATACCAAACATCAATTGTATTTTTCAGAAAGGGATTTTTTGTCATTTTTATCAGTTGCTTTGGTCTTGCGGAATACAAATACAGATTTAATCCAAGGTTTGTTATTAATTCTTCAATTTTTATCCATGCTGGGGGTGTTTCGGTTGAAAAGTAAAACATAGCTGAACGTAGCTGGGCGGACCAATAATACAATTTAAGATTAGGAAGTTGCAACCCCCCTTTGAACCTTTTTTTAATGTAAACCCTACACATCAAAACAAGAATTACTTTATGTTGCTCTATTTAAAAAAAAAAAAAAAAAGTCAAAATGTTCTTTTTTTGCTTTGTAAAAGGTCAATAATCCGTAATTTTTATGCATAGTTGAAGTCTTGATGAAAGCCTAGATTTGTTTTCATATATATTTAAATTGAAAGAAAATATATAATAATTTAGAATCAGAAATGATCCAGTGCTATAATTGATCAGTAGTATGTTTTACTTTTTTATTTGGTTAACAAAGTTGTAAGCAGAGTGAAACTCTGACAAAAAGTGAGGAAATTAAAAGAAACAGGCTAATGATCCTTTTATCTGATGAAAACAAAATACTAACAACATACTAGAAGAATCAGAAGAATAGTTTCTAAAGGAAAACGTCACAAATCCAACCTTTTAGACCTGACAAAATAAACTAAAGCTCTTCAGGTTTACATGCAGCTATTTGAATAAAATAAAAGGAATCTGCACCAGGTTTAGACTGCTGTGATCCAGCTGAACTTTCAGAGTTAGCAAAACTATTGTCTTCATCTAAGCCTTCAGCTTGTGGGTTAGATCCAGTTCCAACCAGGTTATTTAAGGAAGCGTTCGTTCCCTTTGATCTCGCCCTCTATTTTAGATGTGATTAATCTAACCCTGTTACAGGGATATGGCTTTTAAGGTTGCTGTAATTAAACCTTTGCTTAAGAAACTGTCTCTTGACCCAGATGACTTGGTCAATTATAGACCTATATCCAATTTTCCTTATCTAAAATTCTTGAGAAAGAAACAAGTGTGCGACCACTAACATCATAATGGATTTTTTGAAGAGTTTCAGTCTGGCTATAGAGCTTATCATAGCACTAAAACAGCTCTGGTGAAAGTCGATAATATTCTCATGGCCTCAGATAATGGACTGGTATCTGTACTTGTCCTGTTAGATCTAAGTGCTGCATTCAATACAGTGGATCATAATATTATTTTAGAAAGAATGGCACTAGATTGGTTTAAATCTTTACTATGTGCTGGATTTCAATGTTCACGATAATAAATCTCTTCATGCTCCAGGGTTACCTGTGTTGTACCACAGGGATCAGTGCTAGGACCAATTCTCTTTACTATATATGCTCCCAATAGGTAGAATTATTAGACAGCATGGGATTAATTTCCACTGTTATGCTGATGATACCCAGCTATATCTGTCTATAAATCCAGATGAAGCTAACCCATTACATAGATTACAGGCATGTCTGAAGACATAAAAACCTGCATGAATCTTAACGTTCTGCTCCTGAATGCAGACAAAACAGAAGTTATTGTCGTTGGAGCAGAGTCTTTGAAAAAGAAGCCAATTAGTCAGTCACTTCATTTGGACAGGATTAAATTAAATTGATTTCAGAAAATAAAGTAAAAAATCTTGGTGTTTTTTTTTTTTTCTATCAGGACCTGTCATTTAAATCTCATATCAAAGAGGTTTCTAGAATTTCCTTCTTTCATCTGAGGAATACTGCTAAAATTAGAAACATCGTGTCCAGGATTGATGCTGAGAAACTAGTTCATGCATTTGTTACTTCATGGCTGGACTATTGTAATTCTTTACTATCAGGAAGTCCACAAACTGTAATTAAAAGCCTTCAGCTGATCCAAAATGCTGCAGCCAGAGTTCTGATGAAAATTAAAAAGAGAGATCATATCTCTTCTATCCTGGCTTCTCTTCGTTGGCTTTCTGTTAAATCCAGAATAGAATTTAAAATCCTCCTTCTCACATATAAAGCCTTAAATGGCCAAGCTCCATCTTATATCAGAGATCTGATTGTTCCTTATGTTCCTAACAGAGCACTTCACTCTCAATCTGCAGGTTTACTAGTGGTTCCTAGAATTTCTAAAAATAGAATGGGAGGCAGATCTTTTAGTTATCAGGCTCCTCTCCTGTGGAACCAACTACCAGTTTTAGTCCTTGAGGGAGACATACTGTCTACTTTTAAGGCTAGGCTTAAAACTTTCCTTTTTGATAAAGCTTATAGTTAGAGTGGCTCAGGTTATCCTGAGCATCTCTATAGTTATGCTGCTATAGGCTTAGACTTCTGGAAGACATAGGGACCCCTTTTTCACAATTCTGCTTCATTCTATCTCTATTCTCCCATTGCAGAATCTGTTAGTTAAATCTGGATTTGCTCTCTCCATCCTCTGACATGGGAGCTGGCTCAGAGCTCGTCTGCCTGGCTGTGTATTCCCTGGATGGGGCTGCCTTTTATAGTTGCCTTTTGCATCTCTGTTTCTGTCTCCTTGAACCCCAGTCGGCCTCGGCAGATGGACGCTCACACTGAGCCTGGTTCTGCTGGAGGTTTCTTTTTGTTAAAAGGGAGTTTTTCCTCTCCACCGTCGCTACAAGCATGTATAGTGTGAAGGGTTGCCTTTGAGTCAATACAATCAACTGGTTTTCCTTAGATAGAAAATCAATTTGACTCTATCATCTGGTGAACCGTAAAGTGCCTTGAGATGACGTGTTGTGAATTGGCGCTATATAAATAAACTGATCTGACATTAATTTTTTTGGGTGTTGGTACTATTTGTCTTCATGTATTAAACATGGAAAACTTCTTTTTTTTTTTAAATAATGACAGGCATGATTTTAAGGAATAAAAAAAAAACAACTTTCAAGGCCTTGAACTAAGTTATTTAAATTCAAACACTTTCAGAGAATTCAAGGACGAGTGAGTTGTTTTACTAAAGGAAAATATGCTTGTAAACTGTTCAGGTATAATAAAGGATTCATGTTAATCACTTAATAGATAATAAAAAACACATTTTGACTACTGTAGTTATAAAGCATGCTGGGCTAAAAAAAAAAAAGCCAGTGCATTCAGGAGTAAAATGAACACAAAGTCTTGATACTAAGCAGCATTTATTACCACACAGAAAATAAAACAAATGTATCCTTTTTAAAAAGACATCATGAGACCAAGTTATTCCTCCTTGGTTCAAAGTCTGACTATGACGTTGAATAGGTGAACGGTGATATGCCACCTTTTCAATGACTTAAAATGGAAAAACAAAAACGAGAAAAAAAAAAAAAAAACATTTACTCTTAAATCAGTGCAGGTGTGTAGAAAGAAAGCAAAACTCACATTTAAAAAGGAATCTAAAATGAGTTTTCCGAAACCAGTTTCCTCCTGTTACGGACAAATCTGCAAGGTTTAACCTTCGAAAAAGGCTCACACTCAAAAACTAAATGACAAAAAAAATAAACAAAAAAGGAATAAAGAGAAAGCGATTTGTTTCCGAAGTATCACTGTACGGCAGATATTCAAACATTTTCAACGATTTATAGCTGATACATTTTAAAATGCAGCCAAATCTGCAGAAATCTTAATATTAAAACCTTTTAGCAATTGTAAATATGCATCAGGATGACACCTAACCAAAAAACAGCTCTTTTAAAAACTACAAAGGTTAATTTTGAATGCTAAAACTGTAAATAATTTAGCTATACTGTTATGGCAGCTGAAATCTGACAGGTGGCAGAATATGACAACCTGATGTTAGGTACTCAATAATAATCAGAAACCGGACGTCCTTAACAGAGCCAGCTTCAGCTCACAGTCCTGTTCATACAGATCAGACGCCCGCCAGTCCACAATTTATACTTTAAAATATCTGAAACACAGGAAACTGCATCAACAGATGGATCAGACCATGCACACAAGGTAACACACACGCAAACACACAAAACAGGAACAGTGGAAACTCAGGAACTGCTGCTCGTTGCCCCTGTCTCGTCTTCGCGCTTCTGCCGCTTCTTCGCTCGGATTTGATTCATGGCTTCCTCTATGGAGCGCGTGTCCCTTTTGTTGGCCACGGGCACTGCGGACAGAGAGTTAACGCCGTATGAACAAGGAGGAGGTTTACAAACCAAGTATTCTGGCAGTATAAATCCTCACCACAGCCATAAGTCCTGTTGGCCTCCAGCGTGTGAGCTGCGTCTTTAGCGGCCGACGTGCCAATCAGGTGACTGTACTTGTCTCTGTAGTTGGAGTTGGGACATGTTAGAGTCTTTTCCGTCTGAGCGTCCGCCGCCTCTTCTAATGCCGCCTGTTCCTGTGGTGAGAAAAGGGGAGAAGACGTTAAAATTTACCAGAGAAATATACGGAAAATATTTCAGAGGAAGAAAAATTCTCAAACTTTTTCACCTTTCCTAAAAAACCAAACAAAAAAACTTATGAATCTCATTTCAATTTTATGTCTAAGACCAGTGGAAGGAAAGTCACAAATGGTAGTGATGGGTCCAGCAACACTGATGCGCCGGCGCATGTGTCGAGTTCTAACAGCAAAAACCTGAGTCAATGCGCATATCGTTTCAACAAAGTCAAGTGACAGATACAGCAGCTGTTTTGGACCGACTGACGCGCTAAACTGTGTGTAAGTCAGTCCGAGGCAAAAGAAAGGTTTCAGGCAAGTGGGACCATTTTGATCTCATATTTGTTTTCGTTTTCTTTTGAGTTATTACTCAACTTATCTGAATTCAAATTGACTCCTAGTTTGCTGTTCCTAATGTAGTCATTTTAAACTAATAAATCCTAGTTCAGTCCTTATTCAAATGTTCACTTTCATTTTTCTGTTATAAAATAACATTTATGGATTACATCTTAAAATATAAAACATCTTTTCAATTTAAACGATAGATATGAAATGATAAATTATAGCCAACAATGGCTTAAATCCTACTATCTGTCATCAAATTAGTGTCAGTTTAGTCCAACAGGCTGCTTGTAGTTATTTTAAATGTCCAGCAGGTGTCAGTAATCAGTGACACAGTATCCATACGGTTTGCCAATGGTCTACGCCTCATGAACCCAACACTAAAGCCTCTTTCCCACTTAAAATAGCGTGTTTTTTCAAACATGGGTCGACCCGCTAACAATCGGCATTTGTTCCCCTTCCCACTGGCAAAAAAAAAAAAAAACCTAAGCTCACCCCTAGCAGGCAGGCTGCGTGGTCCCTGCCCCCCCGAAACTGTGTGTCTGGTGACACCATCACCATCTAGGGTTAGCGTTGATGATGCTACCAGTGTGACAGAAATCCAGACAGTAAACAATGGAGAGCAAAATGGAAGGAAACAATGATGTGGTCAGTGATCTTTATTTTTTCGCTCTTTTATCTGTCTGAATCTCTCTCACCAAGGCTGCTCCATGCTTATTGAATGTAAAAAGAATTGTTTCAGCTTGTTAGTTCAGACGTGACTGGCTTGGTGTTTTGACGTCCATGTGTTGCCCTCAATGGTAATATTTAATTTAGATGGTATGCCCGGCTCTGGTGTTCCCACTGCATTCCAATCAGAGCTGTGGCGATTTTAATGCAGGTTGCTTGCCGAGTCATTTGACCTGGGAAGACGCGTCAGTGAACTGCTCCCACTGCCACTAAAAGCTGATTGTTCCTGGGTTTAAACTGTTTTTCTGGCCAGTAGGAGAGGGGTATTGACTTATTCATTCTCTCTGCCATGCTCCTTTAACCCCCTGGAGTTAGCCGCAAATGCAGGGGTTCCCAACCCTATTCCTCATGAACCCCTATCCAACAGGTTTAAGGTGTTTCCTTCTTGCATCACACCAGAAAAGAATGGATGATCAACAGAATCCTGCAGCAGTTGATTGGAGAGGAAGAGCCTTAATTTGAATTAGGTGAAACAGAGAAGTATCTAAAACATGCAGGTCAAGGGTCCCTGAGGACAATGGTTGGGAACCATGCTCTATAGCCCAGCTAGCCTCGGTGAGTTGTAGCCTCTTCCTGCCCTGGCGGACTTCTCTGATCTACCACTTCTTCTTAGCTACAGAGAGGGGGGCACAGCCAGCCCCTTCATCACAGTTATGATGCTCTCTCTCCTGCTGTTCTCACTATCTCCTCCTCCCTCTGTTGTCGGATGATTCGTCCCTGTTTTGGGCACTATGACATAAACAAACATGCACCAAGTTTAAGAGCAAAATGCGTTTTCGCTCAGAAAGAAAATCTTCAACAGCGCAACGACCTGTGCATAAATTCTTAAATTCAGTGACAAGTGCAAGTCTATATAAACATTTCAGGAAGACAGAAGGTTGAGCAAAAACAGAGATAACACGGTACAATGTTGCATTGCTGCTTGGTTGCGGGAAAACTGCCAAACCAAAAATCAGTCTTCATTATATTTCTGCAGTGAAGGTGACCAGTGCTGCCTGGAACAAAGATGCAACACTGGCAGACAGGCAGGCGGGCCGACCGAGCACCGCCTGTCATGATTGGAGGATTTCTGAAAAGATTGCCTTGAACAAGAATAATCTGAATTCATTGAATTCAAGTTACATCAAAAGAACCAATATTTTTTCAAAGAAAGAGGATCTTGAAGGAAGATTCTATTTCCACATGTTTTAGTAAATCTAATTTGAAAATCTTAAAGAAAAGACTGTCTCCAGACAGAACAAGGCTTAGCAGAGAAAACCCCGTCATAAAAGTAACCTTAGATACACTATATTGCCAAAAGTATTTGCTCACCCATCCAAATTATTGGAATCAGGTGTTCCAATCACTTCCATGGCCACAGGTGTATAAATTCAAGCACCTAGGCATGCAGACTGTTTTTACAAACATTTGTGAAAGAATGGGTCGCTCTCAGGAGCTCAGTGAATTCCAGCGTGGAACTGTGATAGGATGCCACCTGTGCAACAAATCCAGTCGTGAAATTTCCTCGCTCCTAAATATTCCACAGTCAACTGTCAGCTGTATTATAAGAAAATGGAAGTGTTTGGGAACGACAGCAACTCAGCCACGAAGTGGTAGGCCACGTAAACTGACGGAGCGGGGTCAGCGGATGCTGACGCGCATAGTGCGAAGAGGTCGCCAACTTTCTGCAGAGTCAATCACTACAGACCTCCAAACTTCATGTAGCTCAAGAACAGTGCGCAGAGAGCTTCATGGAATGGGTTTCCATGGGCGAGCAGCTGCATCCAAGCCATACATCACCAAGTGCAATGCAAAGCGTCGGATGCGGTGGTGTAAAGCACGCCGCCACTGGACTCTAGAGCAGTGGAGACGCGTTCTCTGGAGTGACGAATCGCGCTTCTCCATCTGGCAATCTGATGGACGGGTCTGGGTTTGGCGGTTGCCAGGAGAACGGTACTTGTCTGACTGCATTGTGCCAAGTGTAAAGTTTGGTGGAGGGGGGATTATGGTGTGGGGTTGTTTTTCAGGAGCTGGGCTTGGCCCCTTAGTTCCAGTGAAAGGAACTCTGAATGCTTCAGCATCCCAAGACATTTTGGACAATTCCATGCTCCCAACTTTGTGGGAACAGTTTGGAGCTGGCCCCTTCCTCTTCCAACATGACTGTGCACCAGTGCACAAAGCAAGGTCCATAAAGACATGGATGACAGAGTCTGGTGTGGATGAACTTGACTGGCCTGCACAGAGTCCTGACCTCAACCCGATAGAACACCTTTGGGATGAATTAGAGCGGAGACTGAGAGCCAGGCCTTCTCGTCCAACATCAGTGTGCAACCTCACAAATGCGCTTCTGGAAGAATGGTCAAAAATTCCCATAAACACACTCCTAAACCTTGTGGACAGCCTTCCCAGAAGAGTTGAAGCTGTTCTAGCTGCAAAGGGTGGACCGACGTCATATTGAACCCTATGGATTAGGAACGGGATGTCACTTAAGCTCATATGTGAGTCAAGGCAGGTGAGCAAATACTTTAAAAGTAAAACATTTTTTTTTAAATATGATCAAAATAAGGGATAATTTCCAAAAGATCTTAATTTTATCCCAGAAAAAAAAAATAGAAACCACCAGAAACAAGTTCTGTATTATACAGTTTTTCTTCTAAATCTGCTTCATCCCTATTTGATAATAACTGTAACTGATGTGTGAAACATCCCACTCATCACTACTGTCTGCGTCATTCAATGTAGAAGCAAACTGTTTGCGAGACGTGGTTCTCTTTTCATGTCATAAAAGAACGCAACAAAATAGTAAAATAGTAGTCTGGAAGGGCTTTTTCCATCCGCGTTTTAATTCATTTCAGATCACAGTAATATATGCTGAACTTGATGATGCTCCACAGATCGGGAGAATGATATCAAAGGTAATATACAGGCAACATTTTGGGATTTATTAGGCGTAGAGGTGGGCTGAACCGGTCAGTCCAGATCAGGAAATTCTTTACTAAGATACTGCAGCAGCATTATACCCTCTGTGTACCATTTTTTTTTTATTAAACGCAAAAATTCACAACTCAAAGAGGAACTTTTTTTTGTTTTAATTACAAGTCAGATAAACAGTTCAAGCTTGATTCTGCCCCGATACCTCTAGATTTTCCTCTCCAGCTTATGAGGGAAGTGAAAATAATAATTCACCATAAGCAAATCATAACAGAGGGATGAGAATCCACCTCAAGAAACAGAGCATTTGATTTGTGATGACATCATCTGATTCGTAGCCATCATTAAGAAACATCTAGAACTACAGGCAAGTCTTACTTTTAATCTTCGTCGCTGTTCTGCCAGTTTGGGATCCCATTCTTCTCCTTTGCGATACGCCTCCAACTCTTCGTCTGACGGAGCAAACTCCTGTTGTGACACAAAGCGCTCAATAGCCGCCACCATTAGCCGTAAGGCTACAATTGGAGAATTTCTTTTTAAAATCCAACACCTGAATACCTTTTTAAACAGCATGACGTAGCGGCTCTCCTCATCCTCCCCGAAGGAAAACGAGGTCAGACCGGCTACTTCCGCAACATCATGCCTATAGAGACAAAGAGACGGCATGAGTTTGGGTTTCGATGTAACTGCTCCAATCAATTAAAAGAAAAGTACCTACAGGATACTTCTTTCGATCTTTCCCATAGGGTTGTATTTCCTCTTTTGCTGTGAGCTGTCCTGGATGAAATCTGATACCTCTTTCTCCATCTGGATTTAAGGGGATAAATAACCACACTGTTAAGGGGCGAGCACATGTGTCTCTGAAATGAGATTTATTTGACTTTAAAGTTTCACCTTCTTTCTAAACTCTGCTTTCTTTCTTTTCTCCAATTCTTCCATCTTCTTTAGTCTTGCTGCTTGCTCTTTAGAGAAAAAAGTTAATTTGTGAGGTATATTTAGATGAAAGTATTTACATGGAGATTAATTCAGTAAAGACTTTAGACAGGATCAAAATAACTGTTTTCAGCAAAGGCACGATAACAATCCCCTCACTGGTAAAAATCCTCTGATGAACTGTTGAATCTTACGGATCTCCACCCGATCTAGGAGCTTGGGGTCCCATTATAGTATTTATTTTTTTATATGCCCACCCATCCTGGCTATTTAATTTTTAAGTAATCATCAATTTTACTGTATTTCTGCTGCATTCACAATCTGCCTTGCTTTAAAACCTGTGCAGTCGATTCAGAGCAGAGAAAACGTCTAATTTCTGTATGTGAATGAATTGTAAAATAGAACCTGGTTAAAAAAGTTTTTTAACCCTTCACAACAAATTTCATGGTGAAAAGGTTCTTGTGGCTTCCTGTCTGTCATGTTTTCCTGATGTAGTCCAGTTAGTGCTCTAATTTTTTTAATACTTCAAAAGTTATGTGATCAGTCAAACTAAAACAATTTAAAATACTGAGTAATTTATGAATAAAAACATTTATGAATAGTTACATTTAAATTGAAGCCAAACTATAAAGTGTAAAGTAATCATCTAAAAACAAACATTCTAAATTATTTCTTTTTGCACATAATTGTATGTGTATGCAATCATTTCGACTCTCAATATATTTTTAAGCAGATAATATATCCATTTTAATATCTATTATTTAAAATATTACTTTTAATTTACTTTTTATATTTATAATAAATAATTTTTGAATGAATGTTAGAACTGTAAATATACAGTCATATGTTTATATTACTATTTTTTATGTATGCATTACTGTTTTCAATGTTGTACTTTAAAAAATGAAATTGTGTAGAACTTTTTGTTTACACTTGTGTATACAAAATAAATCTAAGTTTAAGTCTATTTAGAAATTATTTCCTAAGTATTTGTAATATTGTGGCTTTTTTGGCCCTCGGCAGCACCCGGACTTGTGAACATTTAGCAGCACAAGCTAAAGGCCAGTTTAGCCTGTGCTAATAAAAAATACAGTGTTGTCATTATTAAATCTACTGTCAACATTATAAAGATGAGGAGTAAAGGGAACAAAGAAAATTTGAAGATGTTATTTATTGATTTTTGATGAAAAACATGAAGCAAAAGAAGGTGTTTGTTTACAGCGCCGCAGCAGCCAGGAGTTCAGTGTCTTGTTTACTAAGCTGCATGTTGTTCTGAAGTGGTGCCACATTCCGATAAGCACAGCCCACTGGAAAATGAAACCCCATCCGTGTGTTTAAAGGAAAGCAGGAGCTTCGTTGACTTGCCCTTTAGATTAAGACCATAACTAGCCATCAGAGGAACGCACTACTTCACCGTCTTATACGAGCACAAAGTAGGTCCTTATCAGAAATGTTAACTTTGTACCTCGAGCCTTTCGTCGGCTTTCCTGGTCGCCGACAGTTGGAGGTTTCTCCATCGAGTTTAAGATTGAACCCAAGAGGTCCGCCATCTTGCAATAATAGCAAACGCAAACCAGCTCGTTTCTCTAGCCGGGTATGGTACGCATGCGCGTTTGGGGTTAGCTATTTCCCTTTCTTCTTCTTCGTAGAGAATATAAGGAAAAACGTGCATTACCACCACCTACCAGTCTGGAGCTAGTACAGAATGACTTTCATTTAAAAGTCATTTGTAATTTCTTGTATCCACAACTTCTATTAATGGAATTTGTTCGTTTAAAAAGTTTAATTAAAATGTCCATAATGTTACTTTCTGAATCTTTCTACAAATTATGTATAATATTTTATTTATTTATTTACAATAGAAGAAAATACAAAATCCCTTTGTTGTTGGGAATTCTGTTGTTACAGCAGCAAAAAGGTTATAAAACAAACGGTCACACAAATGTGGACCCTAGAAAAGTGTATAAGAATAACATAATAGTGAAGAGTTAAAAAACAAACATATAAAATACTGTACTGTAAATTGTTTTAACAATATGCTGGTAAAGGTTCTTAGTCATTCAGGTCATAGTCATTCCAAAAAAAGAGAATTAAAGTCAATCCACTGGACTTTGTTTTCAAGTTTGTTTTCAAAGTTGGAAACAAAGTCCCCAACTTTCTCTCGAATGTTTTAACAATGTAAATACTGTGCACCTGTAGAATAAATAACCAATATACAGCTTAGACTCAAAAAACATTTATTGTCGTTTTGTATACACAGAGTCAATACAAAATGACATTTTGTTTTGTACAGCTTTCATGAAATTTCCATTCCTTAAAGTGCAGCAGTGATCAAAAGTTATGAACATTTTTACAGTCATGGATATTTGAAAACAGCAGCAACATCGGAGATGTGCAAAATGAAAGCAGTATGTTATTTAACTGACTAAGATAGAAACTGTGCAAAATCAGCATGAATGTAACAACTTATTTAGGTTGTTGGGAACAGTGGTGGTTATAAAGTCTTCCAGCTGCTGGGAGGAAGGATCTATGATAACACTCCATGGTGCATTTAGGGTGCAGCAGTCTGTCACTGAAGGAGCTCTCCAGTTCTGCAACAGCTTCATGCATGGGGTGGGAGATATCCAACAGATGTGAATTTAGTTAGGATTTGTTTCTCACCTCATGCACTGAGTCCAGAGGGCATCCAATCACAGAGCTGGCCTTCCTGATCAGCTTATCCAGCTGCTTTCTCTCAGCTAGATAAGCCACTGCTCCAACAGACAGCATAGAAGATGGCTGATGCCACAACAGAGTCAATGAAGGTCTTTAGGAAGCCCCCCTGCACTCTAAAAGACCTCAGTGTCCTCAGCACAAAGATTCAGATCTGACCTTTCATATACAGAGCCTTAGTGTTCTGAGTCCTGTCCAGTTTGTTATTTATTGTTATTTATTGTGTCGTTTATTGTATCTTTTTCTATTTCATATCCCCCGTTCTAATATTATTTTTTATTGTTTCAATTTCTCTAATGTCGAGATATCTTGCTGTATCATGTTTATTTATCACAAATCATTTATCATTATGACCTGAGTGGCCAAACCTTAATTTTGTTATTTCATCATCTCTCCTGTTTCTCCTTCCTGCTCTCATTTCTCTTACTCTCTTTGGATTCGTATAATCGTAATTTCCTTATGTTATGAAACACTGCTTTCAAAGAATCTGCTGTCCCAAGAATGAGAAGAAGGAGACGTGTGAAAGCTAATAAGCTCCTCCTTCCCTTGGAACAAAAAAACAAAATAAATAAATAAACTAACTCACTGCACTCAAGTAACTGACTAATAACATTTTTGACAGAATGTCAAATAACAAGAAAACTTTTAGAGACAAAAGAAGAATAGATCAGAGTGATAGTAAGATAAAAATGCAAAAAGACTGATAATGTTGGATTCAAATGACCCAGGCATCCCCCATAAAGGTGAAGCGATGCAGGAGAATCAGTCTTGTAAATCAACAGCAAAAGGACAGTTTTAATTGCCATGTTAATAAAAAAATAAAAATAAATAAATAAATAAATAATTACAACATCATTATTATTATTAAAAATAGAAAAAAAATGTTGGAATGTTAGAATTTATTCATCATTAAACCCCCCCACCCCATTAATAATAATAACACATCACCCTTAACAAACGTTACTGTCCTTGTAGACAGGGGCCAATGACAATCAATAGGCTAGGATGAATACACGCATGAAAAAAGAAACACCTAATAAAGATTTTAAAATAATATGTAGAGATAAAAGTAAAATGCACAAAAAAACACATTATATTAGAAATCATCTTAAAAATTGAGTTGTTTAGATATTTAAAGCTAAAAACAGTGAAGCGGGTGCTGTACCGGTTGGTTGTGGTGAAAAGAGAGCTGAGCTAAAAGGCAAAGCTCTCGATTTACCGGTCGATCTACGTTCCTACTCTCATCTATAGTCATGAGCTTTTGGCCATAACTGAAAGAATGAGATCCCGGATACATAGTGTGTCCCTTAGAGATAGGCTAAGGAGCTCAGTCGTCCGAGAGGATCCGGTTAGGATGCCTCCTGGACGTCTCACTGGTGAGGTGTTTCAGGCACGTCCCACCGGGAGGAGGCCCAGGGGGAGACCCAGGACACCCTGGAGGGACTTTGTTTCTCGGCTGACCTGGGAGCGCCTTGGGATTCCCCCGGAGGACCTGGCCCAAGTAGCTGGGAAGAGGGACGTCTTGGCCGCCCTACTGAAGCTGCTACCCCCGTGACTCGACCCTAGATAAGCGGAAGAAGATGGATGGATGGATGGATACGTTAAAAGCTGGACACAGTTAACCAAATCAAATCAAATTATGACTATAAATGATTAAAGGAGTCAAGAGGTGCTTTAGTATTTATTCTTGGTCTGACTAGAATATGATCATAGAGGACCTTTAACTGTCTGTCTGGGATTACATCTCATAAATGTAAAAAGGGTCCAGGGCATTTAAAGCTTTGATAAGAAGACAGAATTGGCTACTATAATCAAAACAAATGTGTCTAGATGGTTATGTCACAATCTTAGCATACTGTATGAGTCTATAAATGTGGAGGATGAGTGTTATTAGTTATACCGTACTTTTTATTTAATCCGTCTTTATTTTCTCATGCAGTAGAAACTGATCCTGATTTCTTAAGATGAATTAGTGTGCAGACAGTATCTGGCCTTTTACTGATGTAGACAGGGGACAGGATAAACATCAGGCAGACATCTTTATTTAGACACCAGAAAGCATGCGTTACGAGCCTGTGTGTGTGTTCAAACATTTTTATTGTTAAGGTAACAATTCTCCCCTGCGTCACTGGGGTATGTTTTGTGAAGCGTGACTGTTGGTTTCACAGCATCAGCAATAACTGCAGAACTACGGCCTTGTGCGGACGTGGAGGGAAGCCTGGATGAGCACCAGACGTGAAAAAAACAGACAGGGTCCAAACTGTAGAGCTAAACAATCATCTCCTGTACCATCAGCTGGGGTTTTCACTGTGGTGTACTCCTTCATCCAGCCAAAGGGTTGTATGTAAGTACATGACAACACAAGTCCCCCTTTTTCAGTTCCTTTTTTTGACAACATAATGAATGCTAGCAGTAAGTTATCAAAATCTGATACAGTTTCAGGTGAGACAATGGAAATGAACTTTATTAGCTTTGTATTTGTTTGTTGGGTAACATGACTGTTATGACCTCCGTGCCCCAGACTGCCGTCTTTCAGTGATGCTGTTGTTGTTATTTGGACAGACTGGACAGACTCCTCCCCTCTGTGTTTGAAATGCTGTATAAATGCAGCATCAGTGTGTCAGCAGCAGTGTCGGAAAGCTAATTGGCTCCCAAACATGAAGGGACTGAGTTTGGTTCTCCTCGTTCTTCTCCTGATGCCTGCAGCAGCGGAGGGTGAGCAATGGATGCATCCATTTTGCTGCACTCACTGTAAACCAAAAAACACTCCTTGTTTAAAAAAAAAAAGAAATGAATTAATAATATCAACCATTTGTGTTTAATGAAAGGGATGGTTTTAATTTAATTTCTACCATCAGGAGATGATCCAGAGATGAAGTATTGGACCTGTGGGTACAGAGGACTCTGCAGACGGTTTTGCTATGCCCAAGAGTATGTCATTGGACACCATGGTTGTCCTCGCAGATACAGGTAAAATGTAGGATTGCTCTCAAAGCAAACACAACATGAAATCTACAATTGGAAAGACAAGCTCAGGTTCTGACTATTGTTTGCTTCCAGGTGTTGTGCCATGCGTTCCTAGCACTCTGTGGTGGAAACCAACAGAGTGCTTCTGAAGTGGATTTGACCAGTTTTCTTCAACCCATTAGATAGAGTAGTCCATACACCACTTGTGGAAATTTAGTTTTTGCTTTTCTTTCAATAAATGCAATACAAAAAAATTTACTTTTGTTTTTAGTGTCATTTATAAATGGTGTTAAATATAAACTCTCTTTGATGGGCTTCTTTAAAATAACACTGTGAAAAGCAGCCTCAGTTGGGTCTGGCATACTTTGCCCGACAGGAGACAATAAGCATCCAGTGACTGACCCAAATAGCTGTGATAGAGCATAGCTTTTCTGAATGAAGTGCTATGTCTCTCGTCTCTGTTTATGTTATTACACCGTTCATTCGTTTGGTCTGTCTGTCTGGACAACGCTTGGGGGGAACAGACAGATGACGCCACAATGCACCAGTCGAGACTGCAAAGCAGATTCATTGTCGCTTTGTTTGCTCTCTGTTGGATTGGAAGGTTAAATATTTCTGTTTGGTGACTTTGGCTTTCCATTGGTATCTGTTTGCTTGTTTTAAAAGCATGCACCATTAATTTATTTTATTCCTTAGGAAGTTCCAAAGGGAGGTACTCGATTTACATAGATTTGAGGCATTACTTTTATCACTTTGGACTTGAATTGATAAAACACTCAGAAACTTGATATTCACACCAATGATTCATGACTTGATGCACTTGAACATGTTTACTTAAAAAGACTTAAGATTTAACCCAACTGCTAGTTAGCCAAAAACCCATTATCTGTTTTCTGATATGCTCATTATATTTGATTGCACATATTTGACCAAAGAGTCCTCTAATGAGTCTCCTCATGTTTGCTAGCCTAATTGTTTCATGAGCCAAGCTAGTTAGAGAGGCTAAGTTTTCCTTATCATAACTATTCCCTCAGGAACAATCATAGAAGGCTAAAATCAATCATCATGAATGGTTATTGATGTCTGATTTAGACAAATCATTAAATAAATACTATTTTAGCAAATAATGTGTAATTGAAATCCTTGGATCGGAGTGTAAGCTGGTTTGAACATATTTCAATTTCTCTGAGTTAGTCAGAAGCTTGTTTGTCCTCATGCCAAATTGGCATTGTAAACAAGACAAACTGTGAATTCATTGCATCCTTTTGTTGATAATGGTTTAAAACCATTTTCATTTCTTTTTCTTCGTGTACATAGTATAGTTTAGTTGACTTTCACTGGCTAGGAGCTGAATGATCTTTGTGAATAAATTCTTATGTTTTGAATGAAAGATGTTGCCAGATCACACACATAGCACCCTCCAGGACATGGACAGCAAATTTCTGGCACTGAGCCTCTCTTGAATCAGAGACAGTGTCTAAAGCATCAGACCTGGGCTAAAGAGATAAATGACTTTGCATAACCTCAAAACCCTGGACTACATTATCACCAGCAACATCTAGATCCACCAGGGACTTATGTATGAATCCTGTTTGTGGATTTCAGCTCAGCTTCTACAACATCTAAGGTAATCTTTGGTCAGTTTTTTTTCTGATTTGGGTCCCTTGTTGCTGCCACCACTTAGCTCTTTGCTTGGTCCCCAGGAAAGGAAAAAAAAAAAAGAAGAAGATTCTCATTGGTACAACAAATTGAAAGGAGATAGCTCCTTATGCAGGTTAAGGCTGGAACTGAAGCACTTTATTTTCTATATTTATTAAATCTAGGATCACTTTTAGACTTCTAAGTTGTGTAGTTTTCTGAGATTTTCCAAAATGTTTGCAGTGTTTCCACTTTGTCTTTATTCTGTAAACATCATTAACAAAAGGAACAAATTCTGCACCGAAAACCTTTCAGTTTAGAGGTTGTTCCTTCCAGAGTAAGATTCAAAGATAGCCATTTCAGTTTAAGAAAGGTGTTGACAATGAAGTCTAGTTTTGATTCCCGATCCATCAACCAGGCAGAAGAAGCCACCAAATACCAGCAGGATACCCACTAAAGTGTATCACAACCATCCGTTTGTTGAGGTATTAAAAAGTGGGGCGTAATTTTAGATAGCCGACCAGTCGGCCACTTGAAACGCCTGTGATTAGTTGATCTTTTAGCCACCGATCATTATCAATCGATTTTTGTGAAAAAGTATGATAATTTATTACTGTCTTTTTTTGGCGATCACCTGTATCTATTTCTTTGCAGCTTGCAGAGACCCCATGTGCAGTGTATCACCTCCCACTTTCCTTCACACCATGCATGTGCATGGTAGAAAATCCTAAGCACTGTCATGTGACACTTTTCTGGTTGAGTCATGTGAAGTTTGTGTCTTGCGAGGGAAAAATACCTCAGAGGTGAAGCACGTCAACATGCACCATCACAACCAATTCAACCACACATTTAAAAATATGCACTTCACAGAGTATGGTTAGTTATTGAGACAGAAACTAAAAGGGAGAAAATAAAAGGCAGAAATAGAGGGCAGGTAAAGCAGCACCTATACTTGCATTGATGAGCGCAATATGCAGAAAAAATGTTAATCGAAAATGCATTAAATTCATCTGGTAGATGACCCGTGGCGGAGGACTTTGGGCTTATACTACATAGCTTTGCCAAATCCTGCATATAATGACCTAATTATTATATTTGCCCTTTAATGCTTCATTTAGATATTTGCACATCTAAATAGGCTAGGTCAGTGGTTCCCAAAGTGTGGGGCGCGCCCCCTAGGGGGGGGCGCAATGCCATTGCAGGGGGGGGCGCGGGAAGCGGTATGGATGAATGCAGAAAAAAAAACAAAAAAAAAACAGCGCTTGCTTGACTGAGCATAATGGACAGTTGTGACACTGCAACCCAGATTTGAGAAGATCTACAGCAAAAAGCAGGCTCACTACACTTTTTTAATGTATAGATTATAGCAAAGTTAAATATTGTTACAAATAAAAAAAAGAAATATGTTTAAAATAACACAGACAACAAAGAATCCTCTTCTAATCTACATTATAGAACTATGAAAAAAATACAGTTACACAAAAGTGTTCCACTGTAAAGATGATGTAGTTTGTTTTGTTGCAACCTGAAGTGTGAAATAAACTTCAGTGGAGTTTGAAAACAAAATATGTGTATAGATTTATTAGATGTGGTTGAACGATGTGTGTGCCCAGTTTTATTTATTTATTTATTTTTTTTTGGGGGGTCGTGGGGGGGGCTTTGTAATCCAAAGGGGGGTCCAGAAGCAAATCTTTGGGAACCACTGGGCTAGGTCATTGCTGGTAAACGTGTGTGACTCAGGGTGACTTTGTGTGACTGGGAGTCTAAAGCAGAGAGGAAGGGACATGGAGGAAGATCCAGTGCCAAAGAGTGATATAATGGCTAGCAGCACTTTGATCTTATTGGTCCCCAAAAGGTCAAGTGCCTGATTTGTCTCTCAACCAGTGAATATGACATCATCCTAGAGTGCCTGGATTTACTGGACCATTTAATATGGCCACTACTGTGCTGTTATTAGAAAACTGGAAAGAATGGACGAAACGTGACCTTTGTTTCGTGCACTTTTTTCAGTTTTAATCCATTGTTTACATGTGATTGACTTTTCCAACCTGTCATAAGTGTACACTGCTAATTTCGTTGATCAAAGATTGAAGACTTGCTGCTGAGCAGTACTTCAATGATTCAAGGATTTGTATTATAATTCACATCTGTATGTTTGTAGCACAAAATTTGGATTTGGGTTTTGGGTTCCAGTTCAATAACCTCACCGTTTTTGTGTCAGGATGTTCAGCACAGCAGCCAGACCAGAAAAAAAAAAAAAAGGCAGGAAACCTTCACTGATTCTGGCAGAATAGCTTTTCTTTTTTTTTCAAACCGTGTAATGTTAGCTAAATGATGATTTGTTAATACGTCAGATGACCACATTGAGCTATTTAAGAGGAATACTAATGCTACCAATTTTACATACCTCGCTAGTTAAAAACATACTCTTTACTTTCTGTGTAGAACGTGTGCTCACTATGGATTTCTAACTAGAAGATACTTTATTGTCACAATAAAGATAGCTGAGTCAGGGAGGGCAGAGGCCAGAAGCAGAGGACGATGACGCAGAAGAAGCAGTAAAATATATTTATTTGTGAGAAACTAAGCAGGGATCGGGATAGAGTTTGCAAAGATGTTCCTGAACAACTTGTGTTCACTTACACGCACCAGTATTTATTTTTGTATAATGTTAGGTAGTAGTCAGGGCTTGACATTAACACCCACCTACCCGCCTCATGTGAGTGAACTTAAGCTGTGGTGGGTAGCACAGCCACTCCTGGCCTCTTTGACGGGTTGGATTCTATTTATTTTTTTTATTGTATTTTTCTCACATTACATCTGAAATAAAAGTGAAATCTAACTCCCATGAACACCACCTGCGCACAGTGTTCATTGGTTCGTTAATGATGTCACAAAGAAAAGTAGAAAAAGTAAAGCTGAACAACTGAAACTGTCCCAGCTCATCTGTGTCCCTGTGTGTTTTATCCACTGAAAGACATATTGATTAGCAATACATTGCTGTTTGGATGCTTCACTGAGGTAAGATCAGTATACTGTTCCATATATGTTCAAATTGTAAGAGACAGCTTTATTCTCATAATAAAAGGAGAGGGTCGTCCTAAAGCCAGAGATCATCAAACTGACCTCTGAAAAATCTCTGAGATGATGGTTACAACACTGCTCAAAAGTTATTCTATTTATTTGAATGGGCCCACACAAATTGGCAGCAAAGGATGCAGCACTTTTGAATACCATAGCTGTTTAACTAACCAAACAATGGCAAGATCAGCTTTCCAGATAATGAAATGTGGAAACAGTGAGAGTCATTGCTTGTGCAACAGTTCTCCATTTGTGTTTCAACACTGACAAAACAAAGTTGCATACTTGTCATCTCCATCACATTGTAGTAACAAAAGCCTTGCCCGAGGCCCAGAAACACACACCTTGCTCACATTTTCCTTAACCATTTATCGTCCTTTTGTGGTCATGGATAAAAACAGCAGCAAACAAGTACGGCGAGCGTTACGGGACAAAATGTCTTCCACGACGTCCGCATCACCTACTGTACCTTCTCAAGTGATGAGGTTTGTTTACATAGATAATTTTACAGATAGTATTCTCAGGCATAATACTGCCATTTATTGTTCAGTACCGTCTCAGTTTATCTCTCTCAACTTGCCATAGTTACTTTTGAGCGTAATGGGCGATCTCGCAATTGCTAGTTTGTTGGCTCTGCGCTGCCGTCGCGCAAAGATGTCTGCCTCCATGGCTGCGAGACCCGCTCCTATGTAATTATAAATAACGAATTCTAAGGCAACGCAAATATTAAGGTTAAGAGGCTGAGCTCGTAGATGATGATAAATAACATAGTTATGTATATTACATTTCTGACTGTATATCCCTGTAATTATTACACACTGTAGCTTTAAGTAAAAACTTTTTTAAAAAACTTAAAAAGTGAAATCATTTAAAGGCTAATTAAAAAAGTTAAAAATCTAATTTGAAAAATTAAAAGCTATTTTAAAGTTAATTACCAAGTTAAAAAGTGAAAAAATATCCCGTATTAACGGTAATGTTCTGACTTTGATGCAACAAAAAAGTTTGTTTCTTCTGTAAGTGCTTTTTTGCAAATGTCTTACTCTGATGTTTTAGATTAGATCAAGTGAGTATTTTTGTAAATCATATTGACTTTGATTTCCTCCAAGAACATTCTTGACTTGAAATCTTGAATTTTAAAGTATTTCACTGAATTCCCTACAACGGAGGTCTTCAACAGGGGGTCCGCGACCCCTAGGGGGTCAGCAGAGGTACTGCATGGGGGTAACGAAAGTTTTGGTTGATTACACTTTTTTTTTTATATTCCCCCCACCAATTTTTCCAGTAATTGAAATGTCTTTAAATACACATTAACATGAATTCAATACACTGTAATAAACAGATAAATATAGGCAGAAGATGTCTTTCAGTCATCAATGCACACATTCAATGACACACAGGAGCTCTTTTAAAGCTGGGCACCGTTTCATCCACAACACCTGTCCCATCAACCAGAATCAGAAATACTTTAATAATCCCAGGGCAAAATTACATTCCTTACATTACTCCATCTGTAATAGAGTGACTATAGAAACAGCTTGATATAACACAATTTCATACAATATATATAATTAGGGGGTCCCTGCTCCATCTTGCCATTAGTTTGGGGGTCCTTGGCCTGGAAAACGTTGAAGACACCTGCCCTACCGGCAGGTTAACTGTTAAAGGTATAGTGGAGGATATTCACAAATTTTTGAAAAGACCCACCTCCTCCACTTTAAAAAAAAAAGCACATACACAACCCAGTACCCGCTCCCGAGAGGGAACGCCTATCAAATGTCTGAGAGAGCATGCACGAGCCAATTTCTCCTCGTGCACACTCTGTTGGAAAGTCTCTGTTTGCACCACTCATACAAGCTTATTTTCCAAAAGAAGATTTGCAATTTTTCCACTATGTCAGACTCACCATTGGTAAGTGAAAATGGGGACGAGCACGTAAGACAGTCTTATGTAAACATATAACCAGAATGATTGACAATTAGGAGGACCACTTATTTTGATGATGACATGTTTAAAGTGAGGCTTAGATTATTTGAAAAGAGATAGAGTTTCGTACAATAGCTGTTTATCTAAACTGTTTGGTATAGGGGAAGGCAAGAAGCAGCCAAAAGGTCCAACGTAACTGAAGGACCTGCAGAGGTTTACACCTTAGATTGGAGACTCTGTCTCTGCCTCTAATTTTTCATGTCAGCCTCCTGAATACTAAGGATCCCTATGAGCAATATCTGAAATGCACATTGTGGCCACACAAAAATTACAGTTGTTATAAACCCATGAAGATGTTACATTGTTTAAAGAATAAGATAAAAGCAATTTACATTAGTTTACTTTTAATTTAAGTCTTATGGCCCACTTACAAATAATAATAATAATTGAAAAAAACTTGAGATGTGTAGTATGCTATTTGTAAGAGTCCTGCTTTGCCCAAGGTGATGATGATGCTCTGGAAGACATGGCGTGTTTCACCTTTCAGACATCATTTTTGTTCACATTAAAACTATTTCTGGATGCTGTTTCAATATGATGTATTAAAAGTTCCCTGATATATGCTTAATGAAACTAAACCTTTCACAATCAAAACTGAATGCTTGATATCCACCAGCTGTGAGATCTTCTTTAGCAAAAAGTCACATGAAGCATCGCAGAATGCGGGGAACAGGTGCGCCTTGTGCATGTTGGATAGCTGGACTGTCATAAATCAGTGAGTTTCGTTGCTCAGGAAACCGTTGATTTTCAGTAAAGCTGGCTGGCAAATTAGTGGGTGGATTGGGGGTTACAGCTATTTCTCATATTTTCATTGTTGACTTTAAGTTAAAAAACAAATGATACATGGATTCAAAATGATACATAAAAAAGTGTTACTGGTCTAACTGATTTAAAGTTTATGTTGGATTTTATTTAAAGCAATGCATAGATTTTCTTGTAAAAATCCATGGACTTATAATACACTAGTACAGTAACCCTGTTACACAGCGTAAAGGCAACATTGGACACAGCAAACATTTCTTTTTAATTTATTTTACCAACCCTGTAAAGTTGGAACCATGAAATATACTGCTCTAAAAAAAAGGGAACATGTAAACACAATACAACTTATAATTAAATCAAACCTCTGTGAAATCAAACTGTGCACATAAGAAGCATCGCTGATGGACAATCAATTTCACATGGTGGTGTGCAAATGGAATAGACAACAGGTGGAATTTATAGGCAATTAAAGAGAAACTCTATAAAGGGATGGTTCTGCAGGTGGCGACCACAGAACTCTTCTTGGGACGTACGCTTTCTGGCTGATGTTTTGGGCATGAAGTGCAGCTCATCCAGGAAGGCTTGATGTGTTTGTCAGTGTCTTAACCAGAGTGTGAGCGCTACCTGGAGAAAGGGCAGTACATCAGGAGATGTGGAGGAGGCCGTAGGTGGACAACAACCCAGCAGCAGCACTGCTACCTGCGCCTTTGTGCACAACAGGAGGAGCATTGCCAGAGCCCTGCAAAATGACCTCCAGCAGGCTACAAATGTGCATGTGTCTACACAACTGGTTAGAAACAGACTCCACGAAGATGGAGTCTGACACCAGGAAGGCCTGACACCAGGATTGAAAAAATTGCCACTGGCGCCCTGTGCTCTTTACAGAAGAAAGCAGTTTCACATTGAGCACACGTGACAGACGTGACAGAGTCTAGAGACACCGTGAAGAGCGATCTGCTGCCTGCAATATCCTTCAGCATAACTGGTTTGGCAGTGGGTCTGTAATGGTGTGGCATGGTCTTTCTGTGGTAGCATCACTGCCATTAGGTACCGAGATGTGATCCTCAGAATCCAATTGATAACATCTGGGACATCATGTCTTGATCCATCCACCAATGTCACTTTGCAACAGACTATCCAGTTGTAGGGAGATCATACAGACACATGGAGGCCAGACACAATGCAGAGCCTCATTTTGACCTGTTTTAGGGACATCAATTAAAGCTGGATCAGCCTGTAGTTTTTCTCCACTTTCTTTTTTTTTTGCAACTCCAAATCCAAGCCTCCATAGGTTAATAAATCTGATTTCCATTGAGCATTTTTAGGTGATTTTGTTGTCAGCAAATTCAACTTTGTACAGAACAAAATATTTAATATTAAATATTCAATTAAATTCAAAATTTAATTCATTCAGATCTAGGATGTGTTAAGTGTTCCCTTTATCTTTTGAGCAGTGTAATTGTTTAAAATATAGGCCAAATCCTCATCAAATATTGACAAGATGGATGGATTATGTAAATATTCATTTTAACAACTGCAATTAACTAATATGTATAATTTGTGATACACAAGGCATTGCCATGCAATTTGTTTTTGCTCACATTTAGGTTTTTCCCATCTCAAAACTCATCTACTAAATATACTTTGTATTAATTTTTTTTTCTTTACCTGTTCAGTAAATTAAAGAAACAACATAAAGTAGAACAAGATATTTTAGATCTTCATCTGCCTCAGTAGGTTGGCTTGTCAAATATTTTTTTGTCAATCTGGAAAAAGTTTAGCCTTTTCCAAGTAACAAAAGAAAAGTTTCATTGAAAACTGTTAATTCATTAAACCAGGTTTAATGAATGTAAAACTAAAAAAAACTCATTATGAGGAATTTAGAATAAAGAGAAAGAACAGCAAAGCCAGAAATGGAGAAAGTGCTATATAAAAAAATTATTTCAGGAAAATATAAATTTTTCATACCCCCCCCCATAATTGATCTGAATGACTAGTAATTCTTTTAGGTATATATACTTATTGTGTGTGACAGAAAATTTGAATAAATATTAACAATTTGGAGCCAATTCTTTGTAAAATTCACTTGAATTTTACTCTTTTTGATCACTAGTCCACTACAAAGATTCCTGGTTTAACTAAATCATTATCGGCTCAAAATTTAAATGATTTTCACTCTGATGATAGTTGGATGTATACAAGAGAAAAGTCAAAACAAAACAGATGGCCTTCGTGCTTTTAGCATTAGAAACTTGAACTGGAAGAAAATAAGAGTTCACTGATGCCTTTGCTTCTTTCAAACAATTTATCGAGAACAAACATAAAAACAAAACATCAGAAATAAAAAAAATACAACTGCCCTGCAGGGCAGAGGAAACCAAAATCAATGTAAGAATGTCCACATTCATTTGTAAATCAATGCTGGATTAGAAAATCTTAAAGGACAACAAGACCTGCAGCTTCACACTTGAATTGGCATCAAACATTTGAAGACAGGGAAACTTAAAACAGCGCAGTAGTTAAGAACTTAACATCAACAACAGAAAATAATGCAGCAACTTATTTACAATGATTACTTACTGGATTAGAAACATAACATCCATCCCAGTTTTTCACTGGCTATCATTTTCATTAACAATATCAACAAATATCTCCTGAAAAGTGGACGGTTTTCTGCCCTTGATGTACCAATCCTTGGAGCTCGGAGCACAACCATAAAAGCTCGACACATTCCTAAACTTTGTGTTGCTTTTAGAGCAAAACATTGTTGACATCTTTTATCAAACCATCAGAAATAGTTGGGAAGCACGTCAATTCAAACGCATTATATTGAAATCCGAGTAAAAACCAAAAAGAGATACTTTCTCTGAAAAGAGCTTTTATTTTCAAATAAAAATCTTTTAGTTCCACAGAGCCAAACATATCTTTGTGAGGGTCTCAGACGCCGTTTTGATCTCCTCCCCACCCGCCACTGAGGATCAAAGCAGCCTTTCTGTACGCCTGTCCCGATCTCAGATCCTTCTCTCTGCTTATTTAGCTTTGTCAGCATCTCAGGCAAGGACACTGCTTAAGAAGGAAGTGGGAGACAATTACAAGAACAGAATGCTTTGGGGAATCGTTAAAATAGAAAAACCGGTAAAGAGGAGCATAAAAAGGCTGGTTGATTCCTTAAAAACAGTTGACTGTTTGCTCCGAGGAAAAACTGAGCGCATCTTTTGGCAACCCTAAGTCTTCATAAATTATAGAATATTATGAGTGCTGACTAAAATTATTGTTTAGATGCACCAAGAAATAGGCAAATGTTTTTTTTTTTTTTTATCTTTTGCCTCTCAGCAAATGTAGCTTACTTTAGGCTAACAGTTATCAAAACCTTTCAGTACAGTTTGTTAGCCAATCTGGATGTCAGAGAAGGGTTTGAAATGAATTCAGTGGAAGCACAAACCCCTAAGAAACTATCTAAAAGAAAAAACATTTTAATCTGATATGTTGGGTCATGTTTACAGTTAACTCTGGCTGCTAGAGAGGGGGCGGGAGCGAGACTTTCAGCTGATAACAGGAAGGCTGAACATATTTTAGCAAAGTTAGCATGTTAGCGTTTTGTGCTTAAGTTGCCCTCATATTTATAATTTTAGATGTAAGGTAAGGATTAACACCCTGTTGATAATACACTTGGAGACTGCTGCTTAAGTAAAGCTTACTGCGCTAATCAACAACACAAAATGCTGTAAAAGACTGCCAACAGTAGCTTTCAAGGCTGTTTTTATATCCATTTATATCACAGCTAATCAAGAAAAAACAGTTGTCTAGAATCTGTATTTGCAGGTTAAAGGTTTATTAAAGTTAAAGATATTCACTTATCTAAGGATAATGAAAGAATTTGATCATGTGATGAAATCCAAGTCTTTTTATGGTCTACACCAGAGGTCCACCTCAATTAGCCGTCAGCTGAAAAAAAAAAAGTTTATAATTGAAATAAAAAAAAAAATGATATTTTGGATTGTTATATTTATCTTTATAGGACTTTTGTGAAGTTAGCTGCATTCTCAGAGAGTTCAGGACAAATAACACTAGTGTTCAAAAGCAGGGCACATACTTGAGCGCCATGACAAAATGTTTGGAAAGGGCAAATAAACTTTGCATATATCTATTGATGGGGGTAAAAACATGACCTGCATGATGCTGCGTCACTTGAGTTTCTGTTTGGATTTTCAAAAGGTTCCTTTTTAGTATGAAGCCACTTCAGTAACCCCTAGTTTCACTGCACTCCTCCACACAAAACCCACATCTGATGACTAGAACATCTAAAGTTGTTAAAACTGATCTAATGACTAGTTGAGAAACCCTGGTTCATTATGTCTAGTTATGTAGCAAGAGAGAACATTTTGAATGTGATGACATCTGAGCAACCACAGTGTGGCAATGGATCATTACCAGTCGGACAGTTCAAGGGAGTGATCCGCTCGGCATTTCTTCCACAGTCGGGCCAAACTGATAGTTACTTGTCAGAGTCTTTAAGATAAGAAGCATCCTGTTGACAGAACAATCAATTCCTCTTTTGGTCCCTGTGGCTCTTTTCCTTTAGACTTTGATCTTCAGCATCAAGAGCTAACCCTATCTGTTAAGGATGATGGGTCTCAGTCCAGTGAAGCTGGCTGGCCTGAATAAAAGGTGAAGCTTTCAGCGACTCACATTCACTGTTGTTGAAGGCAGGGGAGGTCATTTGTGATAAACATAAATTGGCCTCTGAAAACCTGCATTGTGAAAAAACAAAGAGTTAATACACTTTAAAACAGTTATTTAGTTAGTAAGAAGAGAGTTAAAAACACAATTACCTCTTACTGAACACTTTGGAGACCCGAGGTGCTCAAAACTTGTGAAGCCCACTTCGTTTATGAGATAAGACGAAAACTGCTCAGGTTTGAGTCTGATGCTGCGATAATTCCTGTTAATGTTTTCCTTATGGAGGGAGGAAGAAGAAAATAACTTGTATAACTACAAAAAACAAGCTTTTAATACTGATTATAGAACAGATTCAACGACTGATCTGTAAAGAAAAAAATCCATAAAGCGGTAAAAGTGCACCGATCGCAGGATTCTGGTCAATCATGGATCTTTAATAATCCTGACCTGCCAATGTCCGATCTAAGTTGACGGGAAAAAAATTCATACCTGACACAGAGGGATGTTTCACAGTCAAATAATTTCAATGTAAATATCTTATTTTAAGAAGAAAGACTAAATCTGAAAAAACTAAAATTTTCACTGCACCTAAGGTAATTCTCTGAGGTTTCACGGGGATTTTTTAGAAGCGTAGGGCATTTAAGAACACAGTTTCTACAGCTGTTACACTCATAAAAAAATTGCTAAACTCCCCATTTTCAGTGCAACAGTGACAACTTCCAAATGTGCTGAAGAGAACACAGTGCTCTTTATAAATGAAAAGTTTAGAGCATTAACAGTCTTACTTTCAGACATTTGAAGATGTAGATGGGATCGGTTTGCACAGTTAAGTATTTGCAGCCACCCCAAATAAAGAAAATCTCAGCTCAGTGATTAGTGGAGCCCAACTCAAGGATAATCTTTTACTGCAGCAGTTTATCTCACACTGATTTGTTTTTATAAATCCATCCAACCCCATGTTAAGAAAATTATTATCTTACACAACCAGACAGTACTTACAAGCTGTTTAAAAGGCATGCCTTTCCTGTCCTAGCATTACAAATATAAAACTATCTCTGAAAACTTAAGCAGAGATGTGTTTTCTTGGTCAGATTAGACTTAAAAAAAATGTTTTTAGAAATTAAAAAGCCCAAGTGGGTGTGGTGTGTATTGATGGATAAATATGTGGAAATGTTCCTTGTCCCCACTGTTATGTACAGTGAAAGATCTGATGATGATGTGGGCTTGTTTTTTTAAGGCCTCAACAAAAAAAATTTAACGGTAAAACAAACATGGCTCGACAGTTTATCATTTAATTAGGATAATGATCCAAAACATTAAGTGAAATTGTATGGAGGTTCTTACAAAAACTATTTACTTAAGTATGATTCTATATGGACAAAGTGAATAAATGTACTCAAATGAAAAAAATCACACTGAGAGGATTAACTTTCCACAACTGAAGAATATTTTGTTTGACAGTTTTAACAGATGTATGAGTGTTTATTTACCTAATGAAAAAAAAACAACAAACAAATAAAAATCTTACTGTCAGCTTCTTCCTCCTTACGTAGGACTCCCAGGGCTGCGGCTCCAGGATGAACAAGCCTCCAGGACGGAGATGTCTGTAGGCTCTTTTAAAGAGCCGTTTCAGACCGCTATCTCCCCAGTTCAGGTGCACCCATTTGGTGACGCTGAGGCACAAGATCACATCATACTCTGCCCTCTGAGTCAGGAGGAGATTGTCATTCTCTAGAACATAGTTAGCCTGGAAGAGAACAAAGCGGGGATAAATAAATAAAAAAAATACAGCTTTAGTAAAAAAAAAAGCTGAAGGTTTCTCAGATCTGAAGATCCGAAATATAATATGTATAATCTGTTGTAATAAATCAACAAAAAAAAAACTTCAAAATTGCAGCAAACAGTAAGTAGTAAGTCTAGCGTGTCATCGTTGGTTCGTTGCATCACCTTCTACCACTGCTAGACCCTGATTCTGCATTAATACACCCTTCTGTGTTGGTATTCAGAGATGGAGGACACCATTTAAAAAGTAACTACTAACAGTGCAAGATATACATTTTCCTGTTAGGTTTATTTAGCTTTCAACGCTTGTCTACCATTGTTAGTGTTGGCAGGATTTTTGAAATAGAATAAAATATTCTTCATTATTATTCATTAGGGAAAACCAGCAACAAAGTGAGACCTCAGCTTTCATCTCAGTTTTACTGTAATTCTCTAAATTCCCTGATATCCCCCTAATCTCCACCCAAAAGACAACTTGCATTTTTATTCAAGCATGTGTTTACACATTTTTGTTATTATAAAAGGTTTCTCCAATTTATTTATTCCCTATCAATACAAAGATACTTCAAAGCATGAGAAAGCTGCAACTGTAAAATTTAACGAATGATTTTATTATGACCTCTCTGACGTGCATAGAGTGCCAAATAAGAGATGACTGAAAATTGAACAGTCTGGTGCCATTAGCTGGATTTTTGACAGTGTACAACCTTTTTCGTCTTCCTTGTATTTCTTCACTCTCTAAAATGATTTAATTTGGCCACGCCGACAAATCAAGCATAAATCAAGCTTTAGGCCAAAGACTGTCCCAATTCACCACAGCACTGCTTTCCTACCCTGGATAGTGTTCTTACTGTTGACCCTGAGAAAGGTTAAGGTCAGGGGCCATGAACAGAGGATAGGAGCCAAGGGTGGGCTTTTATCATATCGTTTATCATTATTGTGACATTAATGATAATAATTTTGATTTATCATCAAACAATAAATTGGAATTAATGATGTTTAACAACCTCAAGAAAATGTGAATTGTCTGTTTTATTTTTACTTCCCCCTCCCTTTTCTTTTTTAATTATGGGTGGGTTGACAAATAAAATGCTATATAATTATTCAATAAATGCTTTTACTGTGGGAGTTTTAGTAATATGAAAATTATATTTTCGTGACAGAGGTTTTCCTTCTCTACTTTTGTTATTTCAACAGTACCACAAAACATTGTCTTTAGATTCTTAGTTCCCATTTCCTAGCCCTAGTAGGAGCTACAATTGGAGATATTCATAAAAGGATAGCTAAAGGTTAAAAATCAGTGATCAAAAACACACAAAAGGCCTGTTCCACTCACTGACATCCTGCACCTTCTGCTCTTCAATAACTGCACAGCTGCTCATCAGACATTTGTCTAATTTATAGGTTATATTTATTTCAGGATCTCTGATTAAAAACAAAAAATATATCAGTGAAACATGCTGCTCTAAAAAAAACTAGTTTTTAGCATTTTAAAACATTTTTAATTCAAGAAATTTAATTGAGCTGAGCAGGTTTTGATCCACATTCAGTGTGGTATGTCTGCTAAATATAGTTCCTCTGTAACAGAAGAAAAAACAAAACAGCCTTTTAATATGTATTTATATAGCTCATCAATTTTTGCCCGATGTTTTCAGTGACACTCGGCTTTCCCAAAAGGACATATTTTTTCTGTTATCTCACCCTAACATTCAGTTTGGCAGACTGAGTGGGCGTCACAGGTATCTAACAGATTTTCTAAATGTCTGCTGATGCTATTACTGTATGTTTAGAACTCACAAATGTGACATCTTGTCTCTGATTAACGGATTTCTTTTTTTATTAAGTATTTTAAAACTAACAAATATTTCTAGATGCTAACAACAGCAGCCTGTTTTCACAAAGTTATAATATGGTGAGGCAGTTAGAAAGACCCCCCAGCCAAATGATCCTCTTTCCATTGTTTAATTTGCCATAATTTAGGGGTTTTCCCCACCAAACTGGTTCCAGCTGGTTCTGTGTTTCCCTAGCCACAAGAGGCACTAGCGCTGATAAACTTTTTCTACCCAAGGCCTGGTTAAACACAGCTTTGGTGAAAGAATCCCAGCTAAATCAGATCTGTTGACCTCTTTGTTTCAAACCCTGTCAGAGTAGGGTGACCAGACGTCCCCGATTTCCGGGGACTGTCCCCGTTTTGGACCACCTGTCCCCGGCTAAAGCTGTCCCCGGAAATGTCCCCGATTTTACCGAGGCGAAAAATGTTGCGTGTAGACTGTTATTACAGTAGAGCTGTTGCGCGCAAAAATAGGTATTACGGTAGCTGGTTGCGCTGCTGATAACATAAAGATAAGGAACAGAGCGCACCACTAGAAGCGCGGTAATGATCCTTTTGGATGTCAGCTGCCATTAAAAGACAAAGAGGAAGAAGAGCGCATCACTTTTAAAACAGAAGAAGAAGAAGTGGAAGTTCGTTTTTTACAACCTGTGGCAACTGATGGGGAGCTACGCTGAGTGATGGTGAGTGTGTTAATCAATTTATTTTATTCTGATCGGGCTGATCTTGTGATAAATGTTTGGTTTGTGTCCAGGTTAAAACAGTAATAAAAAGTAAGACAAGACCACGAGTTGAGCATGAGTAAAAGACGCTGGGTTAAAATGTAGCAAAATGATTGAAAACTCCTTGTAAGGCGCTAATCTGGTACGCTGGTTCTCCAGGGATCAACAAGGGTTTGTATAAAGATGATTTAGAATGGATAGGTGACCTTTAGTTTATATTTCAGATAGTTATTATAAGTAGAGTTATTTCAATTTGTTTTGATGATTTATGGTTGTGATTTATGAGCATAGACTTCCAGTTTTTGGTGTGCTTTTTTACTGCTCAGTTTGGATATATATGAAAGTTCCTTGTGAAAAAATAGGAGTCAGTAACAGGAGAACTGAATAAGACAAGATCTACATGATTTGAGAATGATAGAGATAACCACCTGTTTAATGTTCATTTATTATGTGGTTTTTGCTTGTAGCTCCTAATATTGTGGTAATTAGCATTTTTAGTATTTAGATGAGATATTATTAATAATAAGTTTTCATGTTGCACATCCTAATTTTTTTTGGAGGTGATTTTGATTATATAATGTCTCTGTTTTAGAATAATGTAAGATTGATGCTGGAGGAGTGAGGAAGAAGATAGAAAGACAGAAAGGAGATTGAATGAGAGAGGAGGAAACTAGGAACTCTGATAGAAAAAACGGTTGACAAGAAGGGAGAAAAATTTACTTTGAGGAGTAAAGCAGAGAGCAGGAAACATAAGAGGAAGCCTTAATGCACAATACAGAAGCTGTGAAAAGAAGGAAATTATATATGTATATGTTATTGCTGTTTATAAATATGGACTATTCTTGGATTATATACATTGTGTTGATGTTAAGCCTATTCTGCTGTTCAATGGTTAAACTTGTTTAAGATATTTAAAAAGGTTATTTTGCTTTTTACTTGCTATGTCTTCTCTTATATTATTTTACCCAAATTACCAGGGCCACTGCCTCAGACCCTGTTCAGTTAATATTTCTGTTTCAAACACTTAAAATGTATAATATGTATTAATAAAGTTCAAGTGATAAAGCGTTGACATGATTTGAGTGATAAACTAACATATTGAGTGATGTAGTGTGCAAAGTATGCTGTGGAACACAGAGTGGCTGTATACTCAGGTTAGTAGGAAAAATGAACCTGCTACTTTGAGACACACAGGCCCCTGATGGGGAACCAACTACCAGTTTTAGTCCGTGAGGCAGACACCCTGTCTACTTTTAAGGCTAGGCTTAAAACTTTCCTTTTTGATAAAGCTTCTAGTTAGAGTGGCTCAGGTTATCCTGAGCTATCTCTATAGTTATGCTGCTATAGGTTCAGACTTTTGGAGGACATAGGGACCCCTTTTTCATCATTCTGCTTCATTCTCTCTCTGTTCTCCTATTCTGCAGAATCTGTTAGTTCAATCTCTAACGTTCTGCTCTCTCTGCTTTTCCTCAGAGTAGCTTCATCTGGTCTGTTCCTGTTTGGCTGTGACTCCATCCTGGAAAGAAACATCAGCTGTGCTGCTTCCATCAACACCCTTGTTTATAGATGTTGGAGATCGGCCTGTTTTCCAGTGTAGTCCTGTTTCTCTGACTGTGACTAACTGGATGTGTTCTCTTCGTCCTCTGGCATGGGAGCTGGCTCGGAGCTCGTCTGCCTGGCTGTGTGTTTCCTGGACGGGGCCGCCTTTTACAGCTGCCTTTTGTATCTATGCTTCTTTTTCTATGTCTGCTTCTGTCTCCTTGAACCCCAGTGGGCCTCAGCAGGTGGCCGCTCACACTGAGCCTGGTTCTGCTGGAGGTTTCTTCCTGTTAAAAGGGAGTTTTTCCTCTCCGCTGTCGCTACAAGCATGCTTAGTGTGAGGGATTGTATTTGAGTCAATGAGTCGATGCAATCAACTGGTTTTCCTTAGATAGAAAACTTTGTATCAATTTGACTGTATGATCTGGTTGAACTGTAAAGTGCCTTGAGATGACGTGTTGTGAATTTGGCGCTATATAAATAAACTGAATTGAATTGATCTGGCTAGGTGACAGTAAGAAACATATATGAACCTTTACCTGCAGGCTTGACTACTACTTGTTTTTTTTATGTTAATGAAGAAAAAAAATATTTCTTATAGGTATGTACAGTAGATGTAAACAGAATAAGTATTTGTTGCACTTTTTTGAAGAGGTGGGGAAACTCTGTCTCAACAGACAGCCACAGGCATAGAATAAATGTTTGTATTTACTTTTCTAAATTTCTTTTCCTCATGTCACTCTCCCCTTAGGAGGCGGCAGAGCTCATTGGGCCCCCAAAATTGGAAAGCCCTGCTAATGACCCTTGACCCCTCCGCTCCCACCCCCACCACTTTGCCCCAACCCAGAGACACAGTTCTAGTTTTCTACTAATAACACTATTCATGTTATTAATCTTAGGATATACTAAACGTTTGGAAAGGCACATTCCTGGCTTTTACACTTGATTTTTGTTGTTTAAATATTAATAAATATGTAAAAATATATGAAACCATTACTGTCCCCGTTTCCTAATTTCATCTCGATAAGATGTATTGATTTTTATCCACGAGCAAGAAATGTCCCCAGATTTGATTTCAGAAATCTGGTCACCTTATGTCAGAGCAGGTGGAGGGGAGATGACCTGGGTAGAATACCACTGTTCCTTTGTAAGCTAACGTGCTAAGTACGGAAGAGAATTAGGGCCACTGAACAAATAAAAGTTACTGATTTTTAAATTTTATTTCCGTATAATATGAGAAAAGTCAGCATTCTGACTTTGATCTCAGAATTGTGAGAATTCTGACAACTAACAAGCATGTTAGCATCAAGCCGTAGCTATGCCTGTTTTAGAGACTAGCTCTCTTGTTTTAATCACCTTCTGCTCTTCCATTAATGAAGTAGCATCGCTGGGGACCCCTCGAGCACATCAAAAGTTACCCAATTTCCTAATTTTCCACCAAAAGTGTCACTAGCCCTCCCAAAAAACTCACATCTTTGTCAGTGAAGCTGAGTGCTCCCACATCTCTTCCTCCATGGTGCCCATCTACATTAAGTTCCAAAATTCTGAGATTAAAGTCAGAATTCTGAGATTAAAGCCAAAATTCAGCGAAAAAAGGTCCGAATTCTGAGAAAAAAAAGTAAGAATTCTGACTTTTTTCCCCTATATAAAATGAGATAAAATTTAAAAATCAGTCAACTACCGGTAGTTTTTTTTTTCCAGTGTCCCTAAACCTCTTCCGTAGCTAAGGCATTGATAATTTACTATTTAGTTACTGCATGTTAGATGGTGACCTTCTATATAAACAGTCACTCTAGCATGAAAATTGGAGCTGAACTGTCTTTCCAACATCAATATTAACATCATCAAAGCCGAACGTGTTCTGAGTAGAAGCTGAATTTAGAAGGTCAACTAACTTTGCAATAAAATGTTGCTTCCCACTCATGTGCAAATTTGGATGAACTTTCACTGACCTTTAGGCACAGACATGATAGCCGTTATGCCTCTTTATGCAGCTTCATGTTTGATGCTTGTACACATTAAGTTCAGATTCCTGAAGTATTTCCAGTAAAGTGTGTCCAGATACTTCTGCTGCTCCTGTGTTTAATGGCAGATGGAGATCGACTTTGCTCTATTTACTCTGATAAGCTGGTAAAAAGTAGTTTTAATATATTTTTAAGAAAGAAAGTTCACCTCAAATTATCGTTTGTGTAGTCATTGCATCAAGATTATGGGCGTTCTCAATCCGTACTCGTGTTCTCGTCAAGTTCGGTCTTGGCAACAACACAGGAAAGTATGGACTTGGCGAGACCGCAAGCAGGCAGCATTAATATGGGTCAATTGGGACAGAAGCGTACTCGTAACATCACCACACGCTCGGCTCTTCTAGAGCTGCATTTTTTTTTAATGCAGTGTCTCTAGATAAGGACCAATCACAGCTGCTTTTTGTCTGTGCACTTCCGCGTGAGGTCTGCAACCATCTGACGCATATTCAGGATTTTTTTGAGGTGCGCACGACGCACAGAGACAGATTTGATGGAAGAAGCATAAATTGGCTTTTAGGGCTAAGCAAGTTAGCACCTGAAAAGAAAGAAAAAAAGGCCAAGATCCAGCAAAGAAAGATGGACAAGGAAATATCTGATTCCATGTGGGATAGGAGTGATAGCATTTTTATGGGTTTCTTTTGCATTTATTCTAATTTAAAAGTTTTAACCCATAACTTAAATTTTATTTCCTTTTAAATATGTTACCTTGATGCTGTGTATGATTGTATTTGTTAGGAACGGGAATTTTTAGTTTTCCTTGATGCTGAAAAAGGACTAAAAATTATTAGGAAGGACGCTTGGCGTAAATAGCCTTATTTTATCATTATCAAATAGTTTTTGCTGTTTGTACTGGCACATGATGCGAGCACCTTAAATGGATGCTCATGTTAAGAGGATAGGAAATATTTTTAAATTGTAGTTGTAGTTAGAAAACCACTGTGTTGGTAGAAAAGCTGAAATCAGTCTCTGCAGGTTGGTGTTAAAAATCTAATTTTTCATATTTGGCATTAATGTGCATTTCTTTTTCTGTAAATGTGTCTAGTCTTCCTCTTTATTTTTGGGGTATAATATATTGATTTAATACAGTCATCATTTGATTTGATGTTAGCATAAAAGTCTATAGTGAAGAGAAAGGCACCTTCTTACCTTAACGAAGGACACATTAGCAGGGAAGTTGCCGGGCTGCGTGTTACACGTTTCTGTAATTGGGGGAGCAGCGATGGGTCCCCTGGAGATCCGCAGAGACACGGGGAAAGAGCAGCTGGACGAGCAATCAGCAGGTGTATCACAATGCTTTGGCTCCACATCATCAGTCTCCCTGCCCTGCCTCTGAGTGCCAACCTCATCTTTGTGGCAGTCCATGTCAGCTGTATCGCCGCCCTTAGCTTCATCAGATTTTTTCTCCCTGCCTTCCTGCCCATCGTTCCCATTATTCCCTTCCTGCTTGGCCGGCTTTTTCTCCTGCGTTGCATGCCTGGCCTCTTGGGTCTGTAGCTCAGAGAGATAATGTCTAATGTTTTTACGAGCTGCATGTATGAGACCGCTGTCGATATCCAGACCCAATATGCGCGTCGGTCTAAACATTTTGGCAATATAGAGGGTCAGGTGGCCGGAGTTGCAACCCAAGTCCAGAATATCTTTACCTTCAAACCACTCATGACGAAGAACATGTATTCGAGGGTCTTCGCTACAGTTTGGGTTGCGATATCCGTAATACTTATTGTAGTTCCCATACTGGAACTTCTTCTGATGTTCCTTTATATGACTGTGGTGCTGCTGGTGCTGGCGAAGTCCTGAGCCGTCGACCCTTGGAGTGTGGAAGGAATTTCTTTGACCCGTCTTACTGTAACTTTTATCTTCATATCCTGCCTTGCAAACGGGAGTAAAGTGGGTGATAGGGGGCTCCATTTTGCCGGAGTTGCGTCTTCGCTTGCGTCTGCTTGCATGATGGTTTATTCCTACGTTTGAGAAAGAGGTTGCATCCTCCACAGGTACCGATGTCATCTCCTCCTTGGAGCTAAATGAGCTGTTAGCGGAGTGTTCGTGAGAATCTCCGGAGACACTTGACAAACTGTTGAGCTCTTTGATGGGGTCTTGTGCAGAGGATGAACCTGACATACTTGGAGGTTCAGTGGAAGTGTTGACTTTGACTTCGCTTTTATCTGATTCTGACAGGTTCATCTGCGTGGCTGAAATCCCGCTCACTCCTCCGGCTCCTCCCCCATGGTGTCTGTTGCGATGTCTTTTCCTTCCACCACTTTTGAAGGGGGACACCAAAAAACTGCTGCCTGTTATTCCACTGTTCAAGTTTAGGGGATCTGTGATGTCTCTAGGGATCAGAATCTCGACAGGATCCCGACTCTTCGACGGCAGCGGTGAGGATTTTGGCGTCTCCGCGTTGAGTGCCCTGTTGACCTCTTCGTCCAGCAGGCTGTTGAGATTAAGCGGGTCAAAAATGTTGCCTCCCAAGAGGAAGTTGGTGGGCAGGACAGAGTCGCTCTCAGAGTTGGCCCTTCGTCTCCTCTTCCCAGATGTGGGATACTTGAAACCGGAACTTGCAGTGTAGCGTCGCTTAGTTAGCTTTGATTGCTGTTGCTGTTTAGGATGATGGAAGGTGTTCCTGCGCTGGATGCTGTTGTCGTTCCCTTTGGGTCTCTGTCCAGTGTCGTCCGTGCTTATATTTTTTGGCGAGGCTGCAGTTTCTGGGGCGGGACAGGCAGCTGCAAAGTCTGGAGTGGCTGCAGCTTCCTCCATCATCACAGAGACACTGCTGTAGCCTCCAGTACAGTCTGAAAGCTGCAGAGGTGACGCTGAGCTGGCTTTTGGACTGCCAACTTTCGTGGTTTGTTCCTCTACAGACATCTCTTTTAGCTTTCAAAGATATTCTTTTCTGGATCTGAAAGCCAAAGAAAAAAGATGCTAGATAAAAACCAATAACAATGAACAATTCATAGAGCTTTACATATAATATATAATTTAATATTTAAATTAGGGCAAAGCAATGAATTTATCTTTTTTTTGTTAAAGGTTACATTTTAGGAAAATCTGATTTTTTTCCCCCACCAATCCACTCCTTAGGCTTCCATCACTCAGAGTGACATTAATTAATCACTCTTTGTTTCTCGATATCTCCTCATAAAGATAAACTATCTGCAAACATTTAGTGTGTTATAGTTTCACTTATTGATGTAAATCACAAAGATCTCACAAGCATTTTTCACAGCTTGAATTTTGTGACCCTTGAAGTTAAGGCCAATTTCCACAGGGTTGATTGTAATAAAAGCTTTTGAAAGATTTGCTGGGGAAAAAAATCGGAGGTTAAATTATTAAACTACATCTCCCAGACCGAATTTAAATCAGATTAAATGTTGCTGGATTTAAAAAAATAATATTAAAAGCGAGTTAGTGTAAACACTGGATATGTTATTCCAGTCTTATTTTACTTATTAACTTGAACTAAATAAAGATGGCAAAATGAAAAATTCAGCAGGTTCTTTGGTATAAAAAAGGGCAGAAATCATGGGAATATTGGTCCAGCAAGGGTCAAAATCTCTCGCAAATTAAAGATATGAAAAAATGATGCCTTATATAGTGTATGCTGAGATGTAGTTAAGATCTATAGATTATTTTAGTTAAATAAAAATTTGATTATACATTGTGTTGCTGTTATAAATTATAGAATAATTTTATTAAAGGTTTCCAATAAAGTTTGCTTCTTTTTTTTTTTTTTTTACTAAAATTCAAAGTTTTTTAAGGCTTTTCTGCTTTAAGTTTATATTCAGAGCAATTTTGAGTCCAAACATATACTGTAAACATCCAGTAAAATATTTACCTTATATGACAGTTTCTATTGGGTAGTTTTACGTTTTTTTTTTAAGTTTAAAGTTTTCAATAATTGTCATTTCCAACCATAGATTTGTTTCTGTACTGAGTTTTATTCATTTATTGTTTATTAGAGCAGGTTAAACCCCAGCTGTCATGTTTTAAAAGCACTAGTGTAGTTACTGTGGCCTAAACAGAACCAATTAAATAATAAAACAAAATGTCAGCCAATTTTTTTTTCCTACTTGCTTTGATTCTGTTTTATTTTCCTATATTCTAATCATGTAAAGCACTTTGCATTGTCTTTGTACAGAATTGTGCTATATAAAAACAAATTTGCCTTGCCTTTAAGAAAACGATTTTTAAAAGTTCACCGTTTTTCCACAGACAAGTTTGAGTTCTTTCTGTTTAAATGCAGAGGACATTCCTCCAATATGTATTTTAAAAAAGAAAATAATGCTCATAAATGTTTTCACAAACCTTTTTCCCCCCGACTTTACCTATAAATGATTCATAATAAAAATCAATATGATCCCGAAGTAATCAGTTTGTATCTGCTGTATAAAAAAAAACTTGTGTTTACGTCCCGAATATAACCTAAAATAAATGAAAATAGTCTTATTCTAACAAACAACCAGTGTTTGAGTCTGTAATGTGACCCGGTAAGGTGACATGTTTCCTGAAGAGCTGAAAAGTTTGGGAGTCCTTGTTGGACGTTAACGCTGTTAGCATATTAGCTTGTAGCTTCTCCATCGCGGGCCACTGCGCCCAAACGTCGAGCAAACGTTCGGCTCAGCTGCGTCAGATAAACAGCCGCTGACCCACCTCGACCTGCTGCTGCCTGGAAGCGGCTATGAAAACGATCCTATCTCCCTGAAGGCCACCTACCCGCATGTGTAGTCCCCATCAGAATAACAGTCTCACCTCGCTGTGGAGCTCTCTCCCCGCCTCCCGACTGTCACCGCTCCGCTCCGCTCAGGCTAACGTTAGCATAGCTACCCCACACAACCGTCTCAATAGAAACACTGGAGTGGGAAGGTGCACAGACACGCGCGGCGTGGATAATATGCCCTGGTCTGAACCCCACTCGGGCTCCACTGTTCGTTCAGACTGCTCCTAAATTAACTCTAGTCGTTGGGTATCAGGAGGGTTGGTTAATAAATGATTTCATTCGGTGAAGGAGGCGGCATGGCGGCGCATCCGGGCTCCGAGCTGAAGCCAAGTGTGACTGGGGCGGAGATCCCAGGCTGCAGAGCCCGCAAGGAGGAGAGCCCTGCGCTGCTGTCAGCTTCCTCCTCCTGCTTCAGCCTCTTCACTGGTAAATGTCAGCGGTGGAGCGAAGAAACAGCCCTTAAATATTTGAAGTGGACAGAAGAGAGTGTTTAAGGTAATTTATCACCATAGCCCGGCCAACTTTACTTCTTATATTTGCCCAAATAGGCCCTATTGATTCAAAGTGTAAAAGTCACACTGCTTGGTTCAATTTGAATTTTAGGGATGAAATCCATGCATCGTTACTAAAAAAAACAAACAAAAAAAAACTTTCGGACACCAGAGTCGTAGCCAGAAATTTTTAATAGGGGGGGGGGGCAAAAGTGGATAGGCACCAGAACCTCAGGGTCAATCTACACTGTTCCAACAGGAAAATTAACAATCACAACATCCATATTTTCAAAAAAAAAAAAAAAAGACAAATTATACTTTCCTACAACCTTTACTAACAAATAGACTAATATAGTTAAACATCCCTGCTGTCTAAATTAAAGGTGTAGTGGACATAATTCTTTCAGTTTTGAGTTCTGGGGCAAACATCTTATTCATTGTCATTACTTACCTACTTTTATTAATAATCGTTCTGTATAAAATTTATATTTAAACTTACTAATATCTACATTAAATGTATTACTTGTTGTTAAAGTAGTTATTTATTTCTGATTTCAGTGAAGACTCCTAGATGACTTGCAGAGACATAATTTTCTCCTTACCCCATATAAGACAAAATCTAGTTCTGAAAACAGCATGAATTCTGTATTTATCTTTAATGTTTGTATATTTATGTGCTTATGTGTTTTTGTTGTCAGCTGACTGTTAAAGCTACAGTGTGTAATTTTCAGCGACATCTAGCGGTCAGACTGCAGACTGCAGCAACATGAACATCTCCCCCCCAACAATACGGCGAGCGTTACGGGACAAAATGTCTTCCACGACGTCCGCATCACCTACCTTCTCAAGTGATGAGGTTTGTTTACATAGATAATTTTACAGATAGTATTTCATTAGTCTGTGTAGGGTATAGATTTCATGTAGACTTGAACAACTTGCCGTAGTTACTTTCGAGCGTAATGGGCGATCTCGCAATCGCTAGTTTGTTGGCTCTGCGCTGCCGTAGCGCAAAGATGTCTGCCTCCATGGCTGCGAGACCCGCTCCTATGTAATTATAAATAACGAATTCTAAGGCAACGCAAATATTAAGGTTAAGAGGCTGAGCTCGTAGATGATGATAAATAACATAGTTATGTATAATATATTACATTTCTGACTGTATATCCCTGTAAGTATTACACACTGTAGCTTTAACATATAGAAAATTAAAATGTTAAATAAGTTAGAATATTCCACTTGAGAGTATTACTGCTGCCACCATCTGTATTAGAGGGAAGAAATGGTAGGGGTGGCCAATGATTGGGTAAGGGTGGCCATAGCCACCCTTGGCCCCCCATCTAGTTCCACCCCTGTCAGACATCAGTCAGATATCAACATCGGCATCTTAAATCTCAGTTATTGGAACCCTGATATGTACAGAAGTTTATTGCATTCTCCTGAAAGAAAAAGAGAAATTGGTCTGTTTTTCTGACTTTACAAGATACTTTTTACAAAAAAATATAAAAACACAGTTTTTCCTGAATTAAGAGGATCATTTAAATAAACTATATATATATAAAAATGCCCTGTTTCTCTGAATTAACGAGATAAACTGTAAAGACAAGAGGAAGTTGGAAACAACGTGCCATGAATTTAGTGCAGGTGTCTCAGAAAAGTCGACAAACTGATAGTAATCGCGTCATATTTTTATGAAGATATCGTTTTAACCGACAGTGTTTATTGTATAGGGTTTTAAAATCTTTAGGATTAAATTATATGGTTTGTTTATATCTCCTTCATCATATATTTTCTTCCAGTTATAGTTTAGTAAATCCTTCTGAAAACAGACATGGACTCCTCTGTTCTCAACCTCCTACATTATATCACACCTCCTGTTTTTCTCCTATAGCTACATTCAAATACTATAAAGACTGCTAAGTGATCCCTAATTGCATATAGAATGCATACACTATGTAAAGTAAATCGGATATCGGTCCAATATTATCAGGAGACATCTAAGATCTCTGATATGTTAAAAGTTTCTGTAACTCATTGGTTAATTTTACATGGGTCAGTTTTTCATACCTTTTCATACCCAACCTAATACCTTTTAATATTGCTTGATCAAGCCTTTCCTAACATTCTACAGTATGAAACAAGTAATAAAGCCGGTATGATTCCTTCTAATATCGTGTCAAATCCATTTTCAAAGCTGTGATATCGGTATTGCATTGACAATGAAAAAAAGTTTTATCAGAACACTTATAGAATAGGCATCAAAAGACATAAAACTAATGTATAAGCGTTAACTACTAATAGGAGATGATGTATCAAGGAGCTTAAATTTGAAGGGTGATTTAAAACTCATCCATAACATGTTAGCAGTTACATCATCTGTTGTGGCAAACATTTATTTACGTCCGTTTGATATGAAACAGCAATATATTGATTGACTTTATTAATCTCACAGTAAAGAAATTTACTAATTTATTTTTTTATAATTTTACATTTCTATTTTTGTCATTAAAAGCACTTTAAATTGTCTTGTTGCTGAGATGAGCTTCACCTAGAGCATGAACATCCCATCGGTAAAGCATGATGGTGGCTGTATAATGCTGTGGGGATTACTGTCTTTAGTTGGGACTGAGAAGCAGTTCATAGCTCAATAGAAGTTGTTTGCTGGTAAGTAAAGAACAACAAAAAAATCTCCATCCAATCTGACTGGGGCTGCTCTATTTTAGAAAAGGAAATTAGCAGAGATTTGTATTGACATAGACGTAGCATAAAACTGCAATGTAATTGCAGGAAAAAATATTTAAAAAATGTATTTAGAAAATGTATGTAAAAAGCACATAAGATTGTTTCTCCATATCATGATTATTTCATATTTTCTTGTATGTAAATTGCAAACAAAATGCCAAATAACTGTATAAAATCAAAGGTTTGGAAAAAAAGCAATGGGGGATAAATATTGTTGAAGCCCTTTATAAAGGTTTCTTACATGTTCAGTTCTAATGAGCAGTTATTACAGCTATGGCTGCTCTTTGCAGCCTCTGTTTGAGAAGCTAAATGGAAGTTTATGTCAACTGCTTCCCAAATTACAAATCTGATTTCTGACTGGAAATGTAAGCCTTAGTTACAAGGGTTATGAGGTCCAAATAGAGTAAGAGTCCATACCTTTATTTTTCTTATAACTAATGATAAACATCTATGTAAGTAGGCAAAATAACAATTTTGTAAATTTTTTAATTACAACTTGTTTACATTGCCTTAGATCAGGGGTGCTCAAGTCCAGTCCTCAAGAGCTACTATCCTGCAACTTTTTGATGCACCCCTTTTTAAACACACCTGAATCAAATGAGTGGCTCAGTACCACACCTCTGCTGGGCTAAATGAGGGGATTGAGCCTTTGGATTCAGGTGTGTTAGAGAAGAGAGGCATCTAAAAGTTACAGGATGGTAGCTCTTGAGGACTGGACTTGAACACCCCTGCCTTAGATACTATTGCTTTATATCAACTTTGAACTGAAGATGGCGCTGCAGCACTAGACTAGCTCACATTTTCTTTACCTATAGGTATTCTCTTAACAGCCACAAGAGGGAGCCAAAATATCCTTTTTTTATTTTGTGTTTATCTGCAACTGCCTACATGTACCATTACACTTTTATTCTGCTGTTGCATATTTTTTTCTGTCCTCTTTCTTCCAAATACAATTTTCTCAACCATAATTCACCAAAAAAGATAAGAAAAAAGACTTTTTCATAAACCTTTGCCATGTGAGTTGCCTGTAAGTTGGGCTGTGTAGGCATAAAATACTGTACCTGATGGTGTCTACATCATACAAATATTTATGTTGCATATCAGAGAGGAGCTCCCATAGTGTGATTTCTGATAGCAGGAGGGTTTCTGTTTACTAATGACGTATTTTGTCTAAACGAAGGGCACTAACGTGACTATCACTTTGCAGATCAAAGCTATTTTAGGTAAAAGTTAGTGTCCTTACATATTTCTAGCGTATTTTTTATGTATATTTGTATGGGAATGTATAAAACTCATCAATATTTATTTTGTTTTTTTTGAGTTTTTTGCTTTAAAAATATGCTGTTGTTGTGTTTAAAATCTTTTAAAGATCTTTTTGAATTCCTCACTAGACTCTTGAGTTTCTATGATATTTCTGAAGTTGTAGGAAGCTAATAAACACTAAAACTTTTGTTTTCCCCTGAAAATTAAATGGTTTAATCCTAATATTTCGTAACGATAACCGTAACGAGTGTAAGTATATGCCCCCTAAACTGTTTTTTCTTATGTAACATTAATAGGTCTGCTGTAAAACAGGGATCTGAAACCTTCAATATCTAAAGAACCATTTCTGCCCACAGTCCAGCTAAATAAAAAAAAAAGCTGTTTTGAACCTCCACATCCATGCCTTTTGCACCATGACTTTCTTCTACACTGTTTATATTCGATCAACGCTGCACTTTATTAAATGGAAATATTAATTTCACTGCTAAGCTGCTGCTCATTAACTGTCTGAAAGCTGTATAAAACAAAATTTAAAGTTAAGTCTACAACCTCCAAGAACCAGCCACACCATATCATAGTATGGAATATGATTGGAGCCACCGGACCTTTTTCTTTTCAGTTGCAGCTGTGTAATACAGAGCTTTGAAACAGACAACATAGTTGTCTTTAAATAACTACACACTTTAGGAAATGTTTTATTTTCATGAAAGCTCAGTTTAAAACAAACACAAGTTAATTTTTAACTTAAGGTTTTAAGATAAAGAAAAATATTTGCAAAAAAAGGAGATTAAAAAAGGTTCACAATGTTGAAAACTACATAGATGTGAAATAGAAAAATAGTAGATACCTACATCTGTTCTTCTAGCTCTTTTATTTTTCTTCTCTATCGTTTATAGTTCATTAATTGCCAAGGAAGGAGATCCAAACAA